TCTTTAACCAGACCCTGCTTCTTTCTTATGGCTTCTGACATTATCACAGAGAAACCACTTACCATCAGATGCCACAACCAAACTCTTGGAACTGATGCCATTTAAAAGAACAAAAAAGAGGAAATAAAAGAACCCAACTTTTCCTGCTAATTTTGCAAAGAAAATGCAAGTAAACAAATGGCAGGAAGGTATCTTGGAAAATTCACACATGGAACTGATTTACCTCACTAACACCTCTAGTGATTGAATTGTAAATGGCAAAAGAAGAAGGTTGTCAGGTTGGTGAGAGAATAAATACTTTATCAATTTATTTGAATGTAGCTGAATTGAGATTTGGGAATGGAAGCTATGTTGTATTTTGTTTTTTCTTTGGCCCTAGCATTAAGCTAAGCACTCCTGAGGCCCTCAATAAATACTTATTAAATTGGGTGGATTGGACATTTAGAAAACTGGAATATGCACCCCCAAATAATTCAGGTTTATCTAATTGTAAAATAGTCTCTGTCACCAAGAAGAATCTGATTTTCTCTAGTGATACAGACAATGTTCCCTTTACTCCTCTTGTAAAATATGATTTAATCCCAAAGGGATTAACTGTATTATCTTTTGTAAATTTCTAGGATATCTATACAATAGACATTTTCTCCCTGGAAATATGTTAATCCATTAATATAAATGCAGAAAGGGAATTAGTAGGCTGGGTTATTTTAGGTAAATAACCAAAAATTCTCTAATTAAGATTACTATAATTTAAAATAAGCTTTCAGTAAATAGTTAATTTTGTTCTTGACAGTCTTGAGCACTGCTGGCACATGAACTGCTTGTGTGACTTTATATTATTTCATGGGACACATTATTATTTGACACTAATTTGGTTACACATTGTATTTATGAGACTTCCTTTTCAATGGAAAACCTCCCAAGTAATTAGTAAAATAATCTCTAACAATGATAGGAACATACGTGTGTTATTAGTCTTTGTAATAATTAGATATGCTTATATAAAACACTTTCTTAAAAAGTAGTCAATTACTTTATCGACTATCTTTTATCTTTCCCTCTATTCTTTGATATTCTTCAAATTTTGGCTTTGTTTCACAAACTATATTCATTTGTGAAGTTCATGAACTCTGTGTTAAAAGACTTGGGGCCAGGATAATTGCTCCTGTATGTAAACTGGTTTTATCTGACCATAACAAAGTACCTTGGTTTTTTTATTTATTTATTTTTTTTATTTTTGTGGTACCAGGGATCAAACTCAGGACCTTGTGCTTGCCAGGCAGGCACTTACGCTGCTGAGCTATATCCCTGGCCCATCCTTGGTTTTTATTATTATTTTCCACATGTGAATTACACCATGATTAATTTATAGTATGTAAATGACAAGCTAATTAAAATCATATAAGGCCTATTCATAAAGACTTTAATTCCTAAAGTAAAAATATTGTTTGTAAAATAGTTAATGTTTTGTTTTTATGTCAGATCATTTTCTGTTTTCTTTTACAACTTACACTCTTAGATGTCAGAGAACACAATGATAATATTTAAAAGCATTTAGACGTGGACTCATAGAACTAGTGATAGATCATTTTAGCCAACCATCTTGCTTCTCAGAGGAGAATACCGGCTGTTAAATGATCTATACACAGTGAAACATAGTGATATACATTCTTTCTGCTTGGTTAAACATCCCTATGTCCAGCTGAACACTGGTGACAGCACCCTAAACTTTAGCAGTTATATCAAGCTGGTGCTAGGCTTTTGCTAGACACTCATTATTAGCTTAGCTAATAAAAAACCTGAAATACAAGAATGTCATGTAAGCATCAGGAAGAAGGTCATATCTCTGTGAAAATTTTAAGAACAGACAACCCGTGATCACAAGTTGGGGTCCCTCCTACTAGCTTGGCTTCGAGAACTGCAAATTATTGCCAGAGGGAACCTAGTTGGAAAGTACTTTGTGCCGGGGCCTCCCATTGCTTGCTTCTCTTTCAGTCTTTGTAGGATACTGTGAGTGTACTTTTAGAATGTCTACCTTTGCCCCCAAGTGCAGAGTATAAGACAGTCACAGCTCTTTACCTCTGGCTGGGTAGCATGCCCACTTCAGCCTGAGGTGCAGACATGCTGGAGACGTGGCTGGAGAACCGCCTCCTTCCCATGGCGCTCAGCAGGTAAGCTTCCTGTTCACTTACCACACTGGGCATGCTCACAGAGTCATCTGAAAGCAGGAGGGAAACGAAGTCATAAAAACTGTTAGCACTGATCACAAACCCCAAAACAGAGCTATATTCCATTACTGCCCTTGGCTTGAGTAAAGCTTAAAATTAAATTTAAATTATCATCAGTTTTATTATAGGAAAAAAGACCCCAATAGAACTGATGATACTTCATAAATACACAGCTTCCACCCTCTCACTAAAACAGCCTTCATGAAGTAAATGTAAACTTCGTGACTATTTTTACATATATATTATTTGTGAAAGTTGATCATGTTCTGCAAATTAAAGGTTCCAGAAAAGCTAGAATATAAAATTTTAAGGCATTCCAGGAATGGTCATTAGGAAGTTTGTTCTTAAATGTATCAAGTAAAATTTTGTGACAGGGGTTGGGAAGATGGCTCAGTAGGATAAGAGCTTCCTTGGCAAGCGCAAGAGTTTGAGTTCAATCCCCGATTCCAAAAAAAAAAAAAATTGTGACATGTGAAAGTATTTTCAGGACTGTACATTTAATGGGTTCTAGCCAGCTAGTAGTAGGAAAGACTGCTTCAAATATTTTTAGGAAAAAATTTTTGAAAAATTTTCTGAAATAAGCGCTCGTTTAAAGTGGAGGCATCTAATCTTGTTTTCTCCAGGAAAACATGACAAATTAATATGCTCAAATCCATAAAAAGTTAACTTTGACACAGTATTTGTGAAAAGGAACCTCATTCAAAGTGGATCTTTAAGATAGCTTGGTGGACAAAAGGGCCTGTTTAGGCAAACACAGGGACTGCAGTTTGATCCCCGGCACCACATGCCTCACCAGCCCTGCCCCCAGCGTGGGTTGAGCCAGCCCCAGAGTCCAGGTGTAGGGGCGCACACCTGTGATCCCAGCACTGGGGAGGCTGAAAGCAGGAGGATCACCACAAGTCCAAGCTACATATGTAGTGAGACCCTGTAACAACCAAAAACACTAAAAAAAAAAAAAAAAAA